TTTGAGGAATTGAGCATTTTCGGGGTTTCGGAAAATGGGGAAAAATGAGGAATTTTACACGTTTGATGGTTGCCTGTTGAAAAAGAGATGATTTTTGAGTTGTATGCTGTAAATGTAGTTCATTTGATGGATTGCATGTATTTGAGTTGGCTGATTTTGCAGGTTTTGGGTGAAATTTACGAAGTGGTGAGGGTTATTGTTTGAAATTGTGCTGTGCGTAGTTCTTCGCGCCGGGCGTGATTTGAAATGGGGAATCCCTGGGTGAATCACACCGGGCGTGGGGAGAACCACGCCGGGCGCATTATCAGACGTGAATCTTATGTTTTTGTTACTGATATTGTGTCGGGCGCGGAGACCTTTGTAGGTCTCGGGTTGAGTTTGCGCTGGGCGTGATTTTAATACGTCGGGCGTGAGTATGTTGGTCTTTGAGTCTTCATGAAAGTTGTAGTCTTGGATGTTAGCTTTCCAATGACGCTAGAATCACCCAAAAAGGAGGTCTAGAACTCCAAATATGGCTGTTTTAGTGAAGAGGAGTCAAGTTGGCAGCATTGGTTATAGCTGTTGCGGTTTTTAGAATTTTTAACAAGGTAGATGAAGGAATTAGGACTTGGTGTCTTCATGAGAGTTGTAGGAAATCTTCTTATCTTTCATATGAGATAAGGATGAGCATGGTAGTAGTAGTATAACTCCTGATACGCTGTTTTATGTGAAGGTTGTCATTTCACAATTAGTCATTTGGTTAAGTTGAAAGTTGTTTTAGGTGCTTAGGTTGATTGGTGTTGTTTGGGTGGGTAATTTGGCATGATAGATGAGTTGTAATGGGTGAGTCATATTATGTGTTGAATATGTTGTTTGAGCTGTTATTGCTGTTAAGCTGAGTCGTGCCGAATGTTGTTTATGCTGATTAATGTTGTTAATGCCGTATGATGAAAAGTTGAGCTGTACTGTATGTTGTTTATGCTGTTAATGATGTAACGTTGAGTTGTGTCGTATGATGCTTATGCTGATTAATGTTGTTGAGCCGAGTTGAGTTTTATGTTGTCTAAGTTGTTAATGTTATTATGTTGTGTTGTGCTGAATGTTGATTTTGAGTTGTGTTGTGAATATAAACTATTGTAGGCCGTAAGGTTGAGCTGTTGTAGGCCGTAAGGCTGAGCTGTGTAGGTTGTAAGGCTGAGTTGTTGTAGGCCGTAAGGCTGAGCTGTGTAGGCCATAAGGCTGAGCTGTTGATCACTAAGACTAAAGGAGATGTTTTTCAAAATTGCTCATCCCTTTGTGTGGATTGAGGAAGCTGTGGTGCTCTTAGAGCCCAATTTGCTGAAAACCCTCCCTGGGAAGTTGTCCCTTGGAGTGATCACTGTGTTGTTCTCCTCTAAGTACTTAGTTGGTTCCATGTGTGGGCAAGGTCGAGGCACACGTGTACAAAGCGACTACGGTATAGGGGTCAGGTCGAGCTATACCGCTTACAAGCGACCAAATCTAGATGAAATGCGTGACGACGCATGAGTTGTTTGATGTTGATTTTTCCAAATGATGTGAGTTGTAAATGTGTAGTGTGTTGTGAAGCTGAGATATAGATGTATGCTGTTATGTGTTGTGTGTCAACATTGTTGAATTTGATGATGTGCTGATAAGTTGAAGCTGTTTGTAATTCTTATATATATATATATATATGTTGATTCTGTTCACTAGCTTACCCTTGTCTGTTTTCATGTGCAGAATGTTGTGAATGATAGGATCAAGCATTGCTTAAAGCATGTAGCTAGAGATGCAGAAGAGTGTTCAGTTTGTGCTGGGACTGGAAAATGCAGGCTCTATTAATGTGTGAAGTTAGGTTGTTTTGGATGTTGTTCCTACAAGGTAGATGAGGCTGAAAGTTAAAGGAATCTGTAAATTGAGTTGCAACTGTTCTGAATTTGTGATTTTGATTGTATATGGACTCTTGTTGATCAAATTTTGTTGTTTCAAGAGCCACTGCTAGTGGGAAGATTTGGAGTGTCCAATGTCACCAGTGGCACATGAAATTGATAGTTCAACCAGATTCTTCTTGTTTGTGACTTAAACTTGGTCTCTTCATTGGTCCATTATGACTTTGAGGAGTTTTTTTTTCTTCCACCAAGTTGTATTAGTATTTAACATTAATGTAAAGGTTTCTCTTACCCAGTTCCAAATCCATCAAGAAACTACTCATATTTCTCTCAATTAAAACTGGTTTATTTCTTAAAATCGGTTCAAAAACTGGTTTTATTATGAAATTGGTTTTAAACCGATTATAAACTTGTTTATTAAAGTAATTCAGTTTTAAACTGGTTTGTTAAAGTGATTTACATAATTTATAGACCAGTTTATTTTATTAAAATGGTGTGGTGCAATTTGGTGCGATTTTTTTAAAAAACCAAACTATGCACACCCCTAGGAGTGAGCAAAAAATTCAAACTCACTCGAACTTGACATATATAAACAACAAATAGGTGTAATAGTTAGTCATAAGCAAGTGATCAAGATTTTTGGATCTTAAAATACGATTCCTTTAAATTAATTTGGTCAGGTTTTTTTTGTCGTGGAATTTCGTTTATGAGCTCTTTTTACTCAAACTAGCACAGTTTTCAATTTAGATATGTAAAAGTTTAGTATTTTGAGAACAAAGATGAGAGTGATACAAAATTTACTACTAATTGCCTATTTCTAGAAATTCATCAATGTTTACTAGACAATAGGTCTCATGCATATAGACATTCAAATAGACTAAGTGAATGATATATATATTGGCAATACAAATCATCATCCAATTCACACAATTGTCAGGTTACAATATACAATGATCTTAAGAAGACACTAAATTACGAAATAAAGCTATACTAAACTAAAATAGTCATAGGAAAGAAGAAAAAAGGTGGCCAAGAAGTTATATCCAGCAATCCCGTGCACGAAAGCCATATGCGCAGGCAATGAGTGCTTGTGAAAGTGCAAGTATGATTTTTCCGACCCTTGTGGCATGAGTATTCCTCATACTTATAGAGATCCTTGGGAGCGGTTAATCTCGTGTAGGTCCGTCGTGGGATGCATAATCGCTACCCACTTCGTGGTTTGCACGATCTCTTCTCTCCTTGCGTTAACCTCTTGTAACTGCTAGTCCCATGTTTCTCCTGTTCGACTCTCGAAAATATTCATAAGACGATTTTAGAGCTTTTCCATTTGATAACTTCCTTGTAACCGTTCATTCCACGTCTATTTCCTCGACTCTCAACGTTTTTAGTAACCTCCCATTTTCTCTAGATATTTTTCGAGCAAACCTCGAATATGCCCATTTTGCCTACGTCCCTTGATAACCTGTTTGAAGGGTATCTCATGTTGATTGTATTTCTCAAGTAAGTCCTACGCACATCTTTTTGAGTAGCTCCAACAGGTTTATATTTGAGATTCTCAATCCATACCCCGACTCAACCAACTATGTTAATTTTCTAAAAAATTAAACGCTAAAATCCTATTATAAAAACTACTTTTACATTTACCTTTTTCATTTTAACATTTACCTGGACCAACTCCACCTCCTTTCTTCCTTTACTCTCTCAATTGTTTAAAGACCTAACTAAAGTTCCATTTGTCTAGCCTGTGATCATGGTGGTGGCTTTTTTTTTTTTCCTCGTTAATTTGTGTCTACTCATTTTGGTTTAAGTATAATGTACCTCAATTCATCGTCATATGTAGCCAAACCAACAATAAGTCCAGTGTCTCTTCTACATCTTCTTTTTAAAGTTTTATACTTGCTATTTTTCTTTCTTCAAGTTATTTTATGTTTTTATTGCATTTTTTTCATCTTTACATTCGGAACATGGAAGGCACATCTATTTTAAGTCACCAGCAACAAACACAGATCTATAGGTTAATTTCAAGGTAAAATTTGCAAACTGTGTATTATGTAAATACCCTTTTTCTCCGATGAGTTGAGTAAGAAAGAGATTGTTTTTACTTAGATTTTGTCTTGGATTTGACATGCATATCAATATATGAACGATAAATGAACCAACTCGATTGAAACCAATTGAGAAACTCAATAACCAATTAATCGGAAACCCAACAAATCCAAAGGTCAAAATCAGTTAGGAATGGACCCGATTTTATTATGGTCAGATTGGATCGAATTGACTAATTTAGACCCAAACTCGATCAATATTCAAGCTTACCATTCATGACTTTACTTTCCTCGTAAAAAGAAATAATAATTAAAATATAATATTTCCAATACATGACATTTGTTATAACAATAAAAAAAATTAAATTTACTTTAAATCTTTTAATTTTTTTATATTAAATTATCCCTTTAAAATTATAACGGTCGATTTTATTTCTGTAACGTTGTTAGTAATAAATTTCTCTGTGACAAGTGAAAATACATATGAGAAACAAAAAAAATAAATAAAAAATAGTTCTTTTAAAAAAAATTAATTCATTTGTAGTCTTTCAATTTTTTTTTAAATTAAATTAATTTATGTATAAATAAAATAAGTGGAGTCTAATTCTCCAGAGATGTTAATACATCTTTTTAATAAGTCATTATTCTAATTAAATATACTTTTCTATCCTCTTTGTATATATTAACTTATATCTATTTATTTATTTTAGTTGAAATAAATTAACAAATTATAAAGTTATATTGTAAATATATTTCATGAAAATTGTATTTATAATTTTGCTATATGGTCCTTGTAAAGAAAAATTGTGAGTATACGTAAACTTTCATCGTAAAAAAAGGTAAATGTATTTATTTTCTTAATTGGAATACTTGAACAAATTAAATGAAAAAAGTAGTTTACTAACTAGTAAAAATTAGAAAAAGTAAAAAATTTTGGTTTGAACTTCGAAGATTAAAAATGGGGAGTGGTGGAGCCCCATATGTCCCTGTCGCTCGCCGCCCCTGGTAATGTCGCTGTCACCACATGCCTTTCTAGTGCAATGCAATGAATTGGGTGCATTTAAAATTCTGCAGCCTTTTTCTCTCGAAACCTAACAAGGGTTGTCAGCTTTATTTAATGACCAATGCATCAACATCGTAGCAGCAGCATCGTAACCAATCTGCATTCATTTCTTCAAACCCAAAAACTCTTCGCCCACATGACCCGCCCAAGCATTTACCTCTTCGGCGATTCAATCACCGAGGACTCCTTCTCCGTCGGAGGATGGGGTGCTTCTCTCGCCCACCATTTCTCTCGCACGGTTTTCAACTCTTTCCATCCTTTCATCTTTGTTTTTCTCGCCAATGAGTGAGTTTGACAATTTTAAGGTTTAGTTTTATGTTTTTCGCAAATGATCAGGTTGATGTGCTGCTAAGAGGTTATAGCGGCTACAACACTCGGTGGGCGCTCAAGGTGTTGGACAGGGTTTTCCCTGCGTCACTGGGCGGTGAGGCTGGAACCGTGACAGCGCCAATTGCTTTGACTGTTTTCTTTGGTGCCAACGACGCTTGTCTTCCCGATAGATGTTCCGCTTTTCAGCACGTGCCTCTCCATGAATACAAGCAGAATCTTCACTCCATTGTTTCCTTCTTCAAGGTAATTAGTCTCTGTTGCAGCAAGTGTTTGTGTTAGAAGATTAAAATGATTAGGCAAAAGGGTTACTGACACAGTGACGTGAAAAGGAGTTTTATTTTAGTTTAGAGTTTTGACTCTTGCTCGTTCATAAGCGTGCTTTGGTTTGGTTGCGTATATTGCATGTCACGAAAGGATTAATTATTAGTCCTCTGGTGGGGTCCACTGTTATCATGGTTTTCTTAGTCTCCGCTGGTCAAAATATGGACGTGGGATTAGATCAATTCATATCATGTTGGTCTTGTTTTGTTTGGGGTTTTGAATTTGTGTCTTTGATATTAAATTATTTTAAATACTTTTGAAAGAACTTATTATATAACTCATAGTGGTGGCTCTTGTGTTATTTTACTAAAATAAAATCATGATTGTGGGGTATGACGAGTTGAATTGGAGAAGTGGGACCCGTTGTGAATTGAGAGTTGAACACACGTGCAGTGGCCGTAGGTATGGGAAGTGTGGTTTTTGTTAATTGTTTGCCACTTGAGCTGTGAAAAGTTGCTTTTTTGTTCTATGGGAGTGGAGTTTGCAGGAGATGTTTGTGTAAAGGTCCACCTTTCTATTGTTTTCTTTTTGGGGGAAACTTGGAAGGGTTAGTTGGAAGGAGCCTTCACGACCTAAACCCTTTCCTGTCTTCTTTCTCATGTACTCCCATGCAATTATATTATTCGCTTTGCTCGTTTATGAGCTGTTAGCTAGCTAGGTAGGAATGTTAGAAAAGACCCACGTTTACTTTACGAGTGCCTCTCCTTAAGGGCTAAGACATCATCTGTTATTAGTTCCGTATGTATGTCCACAATTATGGTTAATCTCATGTAATCAAAAATTTCAAATTTTGATTATATATCGTACATGAAATATAAATTAATCAAAATCACAAAGCGATGGTGGGATCAAAGAATAATTTATTTATCATCCTTTGTAATGACTAAAGACATTATCTGCCCCACATTCCAGGGGGAACTAGGAAGGTTATTATTGAGCCTTGCGCACGGGTCTAATGAATGCTTACACTAGTATAAATGTTTTAGTTTAATGGGAAGATACATATGTATAATGAATGTATGGACTATATTCATCGGCAAAAGTTTGAAAAGATGATGTAGAGAAAAGTAGATGCTACTAAGTAATAAGAATTTAATTCCTTCAAAAGTGATAAGATGTGTAGATGTGTAAAGTAATAAACTAAGGATGGATTTATTTTATTTTATTTTATTTTATACTCTATTAATACTACGATAAAGAAAACATAAATATAAATTTATAAGAATATTTTAGTTCAAATTAATTAAGCGTGAAAATGCCTTTATTATATACTTTATGCTCTTTTTCGTTTTAAAGGAACTAAATCTAATTTATAAATACATAAAAATACAAATGTTTATGAATGGTGTAAGAAGTATAAATTTAAAATAAATTATTTTAAAAAAATTACACATATAAGACATGAATACACAATAATTTATTCAAGTTGGATCTAAAAAATATAAATTAAAAGAAAATTTAAAATCGTAATAAAGCTACGCTCATCAACTTAGAATAATTTAAAATTAATTAAAATTAAAAAAAATATTTGGATTCACATGTTATTTGAAAGAAAAAAAAAATGAATTCAATCTCTGTCCTAATCTAATTAGGGTTTTCGTAAGAAAAGAACTGGCAATACGTACACTTTCTATTAACTTCTGCTAACAGGAAAGTGTTAAAAAGAGTCAGTAAAAAATATATTACTAATATTTCTTAGCTGGTCAAACTGTTGTTGAGACAAGGGCATTCTTATTTTTACAATTTTAGTTTGTGAACATCTAATTTCTCTGTCATTTAGATATATCCCGGCATTCAGCTTCTTTTGTATGGCAAAGTTCAAGGGTAAGTTATCTCCATTCATGAGACCAAGCTTGGACGTTGTGCTTTTATGTTGTATAACTTCTGTGCTTTACTGGATCGAGCAAATAGCATATCGAAGATCTCTGATGCATTTTATATTTTTGTTTGACTCTAACGCACTTTCTTTTTTATCCATTATTTGCACTTGGGATAAAAGTTATTATATAATGCAAGACCTAAAATTGTACCAAAAGAAATCTGCACTCACTTTTTCCATATCATATACAGCATTTTCTTGACCAGCTAGATTACAATCAACTTGCTGTACCTTCCAATATTGGAAACATTAAGTTTGTTCGGTTTGAGAGTCAAAAGTATAAGAATTAATTTTGTGTTTTTGCAAATGTGAGTAAAGATACCGCCAAGTTAATATTTTTGTAAATTCTAATAAATAAAGAAGAAATAAGTTGTTTCTTTGAGACTAAAAATACTTTTAAGCCTTTTCAAATGAAATCCACTCATGTACACAGATATTGGTTATTTGCTACTGTTAAAAAAAAATTGATTTCCCTTAAAACTTCGGTTGGATTAGAAGTAATAACTTTTAATTCTTGGCCTTGAAGTGGACTTTTTTTTTTTTTTTAATTCAAACCAATAAATATAT